ATCGCAGCTTCTCCCCACGGGCCTTGGCGTCCCAGCTCTGCAGCTCCTGAACTTCATGAACATGGGTTTCGAGTACTCCGCACATTGAGTACTCATGGTAATGGCCAAGTAGATACTTCCAAAACTTGTCGGTGAGCTCCGTGATGTTCGCCACGAATAGGTGGGACTCACCGTCAGTGGCCTCCATCTTGTGGGGTGAAGGCGTCCCCGTGGTCGTTTGTCAAGCTGTGGGCGAAGCGGAGGCTTCCGCTGCCGTGCTCGCTGAGCCCTTGCCTTTGGCCTTGGTGGCCGCGGCGTGCACAGTGAACTTGGCAGCAGAGAGCTTGCGCGCTTCCTCCTGCAGCTTAGCCTTGTGGTCCACGTCCTTGGTCCCCTTCTCGTTGTTCTCCTCTGGGTCGGTATCAATGGGGACCGCTGTGGAGACGGCGGCGTCCAAGCCTTTGGACTCCTCCTTGGCGGGGACTGCCTCCGACTTGGCGGTCGCCTCTCCGTTCTCGGACTTGCGCTTCTTGGCCATCCTCTCCGTGATGGACTTCTGGTATTGGCGCGCCTGCTCCAGCCACGTGCGGATTTGCTGACTGCGATTGTTCAGGTCGGAGCGCGTCGCCTTGAGATCGCTGTGCAGCTTCTCCATGCTCTTGCGCTCCTCCTCCGTACATTCCAATTCCCCTAGTTTGTCAAAGAAGGCCTCGTCCCACTGCAGGAGGAACATGGCCTTGTCCGCCTCCGCTGACTGCTCTCCCTCCGCGTGGGCGAGCGCGCGGGCGGCAGCGGCCTTGGCGGCCTTGGCCTCCGCCAGCTTGAGCGCCGCCGCCTCCTCCTTGGCCTGCGCAGCCTGCAGGTTGGCCTGCAGCCGCAGGACCGAGGCCACCGCCTGCTCGTGCATGTGCTCCGCGTGGCGGTGCGCCCCGTCGGCTTTCTTGAGGCTGTCCACCAGGCTGATGTCCTCCGTGGAGGTGGTGCTGTCCCCCAGCCTCTGGAGCTGCGCCTGGAGCGCCTTCTGGAGCTGCGGGTCGGCGGTGGCCTGCAGCGCCTGCTGCAGGAGTGACCGCACGGGTGGGGCACCGCTGCCCATGCCGCTGCCGCGCGCACCCTGGGGCTGTCGGCCGCGCTGGCCAGCAGGCGAGGGCGTGCGGCTGCGGGGCTTGAGGGTGCCTCCGCTGCCCGCTGGCTCGTGGTACTCCTGTGCGTCATGGAAGACCTCATCACCTGCCTGATACTGCCGCGAGTCCGTGTCGAAGGTGACTGACTTGTTGCGACGCCTCGCGCCAGCAGCACTGGGAGCACGTTGGTACAGCGAGACCTTGTCACCACAGTGCTCGCAGATGCAGTTGCGCCTCTGTAGAACGGAGTTCCATTCACAGCGTTGGCAGGTGGAGCATCTCGTCCATTGAAATGATTTGCTGATCCATGTCGCCATCCTTGCCTCGGTCTTGGTCGAACCCCTCGAGCGGGCGTGCTCCGATGGGGCAAGTCCCTCAAGCACTGCGTGGAAGTGCCGAGGCACGCTGGGCTCTGTGCCAAAATGGTCCGAGCCACAATGGTTGCTTGAGGAGGAGGAGGAGGAAGAGGAGGAGGAGGAGGAGGAGGAGGAGGAGGAGGAGGAGGAGAAGGAGGAGGAGGAGGAGGAGGAGGAGGATGGGAAGGGACAGGAGTAGTTTCCCGCCCTCCTCTGCCTCTCCCTCTCTTTGCCCTCTTCGTTGCTGTGTCGTCGTCGTCGCCGGCTCTGCATCGGCTCGGACGACGCCGCGCTCCAGGGACGGTGTCGTGCCTCGCCGCGCGCGCGAGCCGCGCGGCAGCGCCGGGCGGAAGGAGCTGACCGACACCACCGAGGCGCGCAAGAAGGCGCGCAAGGAGTTCGAGAAGACGGAGGCCAGCCCGCCGCAATCCTCGCTGGCTCAAGGGCAACGGCAGTGGGAGCTGGCTCAGGGGGGGGGATCGTCGACGCCCAGGCGCATATTCATTGCAAAAATCGGGTCCTGGGTGCCCCACTCTGCCCAGCTCTTCGGGAGGACACCAACCCACCTACCTACCCTCCTCTCCCTTCCCTCTCCCCCTCCCCAGATGTCTCTGGAGACCTTCAGGGCCAGAAG